TTGACAAGTGCAAGCTGCTGCGGCTATGTATTCTGCTTCACATGTTGAAAGAGCTACCGTTTGTTGCTTCTTTGATGACCATGAAAATGTTGCAGAACCGAATTTTCTGAATAACCAACCAGCTTCGAATTTTCTGAATGCATGTAGAATAAGCCATGACCTGTTGTACCTTTGACATATATGAGGATTCTTTTTGCTGCAATCTAATGATCTTGTTTTGGATTCTCCATGAATCTGCTTACCAATCCCACATCGTATGTTATGTCTGGTCGTGTGATAGTCAGATACCTTAGACTTCCAACGATGTTTTTAAACAACGTCGGATTCACTTGCTCTCTTGTTGAATTCACACTTAATTTGACTCCTGGTTCTGCTGGAGTGGCTACCGGCTTGCAATCTTCCATTCTGAATTTTCTTAAAATTTCTTTTGCATACTTCTTTTGTGATATAAATATTCCTTCTTGCATTTGCTTTACTTCAACTCCAAGGAAGTATGACATTTCTCCAATATTTGTCATTTCAAATTCTTTAGTCATAGCTTTCTTAAAATCATTGAACATACCTAGATTATTTCATGTGAAAATCATGTTGTCCACATATAAGCACAAGATCATGATATCACCGTCTTCATTTTTCTCGGGGCTTGCTTTAGACCATATAGTGCTTTCTTCAATCGGTAAACTGTCTTCATGTCCCTTTTTAATGTATCCAGGTGGTTGCTCAATATAAACTTCTTCTTCTAAGTAGCCATTTAGAAATGCTGACTTCACATCCATCTGGTAAATTTTTCATCCTTTTTGTGCTGCAACTGCTGTGAGAAGTCTGATGGTCTCGATCCTTGCTACTGGAGCAAATACTTCATCATAGTCTATTCCTTGTCTTTGCTTATAGCCTTTGACAACTAGCCTTGCTTTGTGCTTCTCGAACTTTCCTTCTTTATTGGTCTTTGTCTTGTAAACCCATTTTACTCCAATTGGGTTATGGCCTTCTGGTTGTCTTGTTAGCTCCCATGTATCATTTCTTTCTATTGATACAATTTCTTCATCCATTGCATTCCTCCATTTGTCATATTCAACCGCTTCTTCGTATGTTATTGGATCACTGTTCACAAGTAAGCAGAAAAGTGAAACATTATTTAGTTCATAATCATTGTACCTTTCTGGCATTCTTCTCTCTCTTGTGGATCTTCGAACTTCTGTGGGAGGTGCTTTAGAATCTTCTATTATATTGCTGGCATCGCTGCTGCTGCTCGACGACGATGGTATATTTTGTTGAGGACCTTGATCATAAACTTGTTCATAATCTTTATCTTCATTAAAAAATAGTCCTTCAACTTTCTTTTTCTCTTTGCTCCACCTCCAATAGTCTGCTTCATCGAACTCGACATTTCTTGAAATTATTACCTTCTTGGTAAGAGGATTATACAATCTGTAAGCTTTGCTTCTTTCATCATAGCCAATGAAAATACATTTTTCTCCTCTGTCATCAAGCTTCTTTATGGTCTGTTCAGGAACAAGGGCATATAAGATACATCCAAAAATCTTGAGGTGTCCAACTCCTGGTTTCTGTCCACTCCATGCTTCGTTTGGCGTCATATACTTCACATTTTTTGTTGGACATCTGTTCTATAGGTAAACTGCACATCGAACTGCTTCAGCCCATAAATTTCTCGGTAGTTGCTTGCCTTTTATCATGCTTCTTGCCATTTCCAGAATTATGCGGTTCTTTCTTTCTGCAACTCCATTTTGTTGTGGCGTGTATCTAGCTGTTAGCTGATGGATGATGCCATGCTCTTTGCAGAATTCTTCAAATAACTTTGATGTATATTCGCCTCCTCTATCTGATCTGAGTATCTTCAAATATTAACCGCTTTGTTTTTCCACCATTGCTTTAAATTCTTTCAATTTTTCCAGCGCTTCTGATTTTTCTTTCAAGATATAAATCCAACATTTTCTACTAAAATCATCAATGAAAGTTAGGTAGTACCTGTTACCGCCAAGCGATGATATGTCAAAAGGACCGACTATATTTGTGTGTACTATCTCTAGCGGTCTTCGGGCACGCCAGGATCTACCAACTTCAAAGAATTGTCTATGTTTCTTTCCTTTGATGCAAGCCTCACATAATTGATTTGGAGGGTTGATCTCTAGTAGTCCTTTCACCATGCTTGTTTTTTATAACAACTTCAAACCAGAAAATCCAAGATGTCCATATCTTAGATGCCATAGACATGAATCATCTTTGATCGCAGTCTTCATGCACTTGACTTCTCTCGACTCGATATCAATTGTAAAGAAACGATTTCGAGTCATATCGACTTGGGCTATCAATTCTCCTTCTTTGTTTTTGATGGCAAGCGAGCGGTTCTTCATCTGCACTTCATATCCTTTTTCCAGGAGTTGACCAAGACTGATGATATTGCTTTTCAAAGCAGGTATTTAATAAACATCTGAAATATATTTCTTTTCTCCATTTCTCTGAGTAATCATGACTTTGCCTTGTTCTTTTATTTCTGCGTACGATTCATCTCCGAACGTTACTCACATATGGACTGTTTCATCTAATTTCACAAACAATTCCCTTTGACCACACATATGGTTATTGGCACAATTATCAAGATACCAAATATTTTTCTTGAATTCTTCATTTCCTTTGTAAGTGAGGAATACATGAGATTTTTCAATTTTTTCTTCTTGAGCTGCTGCTACGTTATTTCTTTCTTCTTGTTTAGGAGCAGATCTATAGTCATAACTATAATGACCATACTTATTGCAATTATAACATTGTACCTGAAATTTATTTCCTTGTTGATATCTGTAACACCCCTAACTCATATTCGACCCAAATACAAGTCCGAGATGTCACATTGACTTTTCAAACTTTTATTCTTAAAGAAAAAACCTCGGGAATTTAAAACTTTCATTAAAACACAATACTTTAATTTACATAAAAGAGACCACTTAATACAAAATCAACCAGAGCATTCGTAATTAACCACTTATTATATACCAACACTATATACACAACAAAATATCTACTTTGTCAATTACTTCTGATCTGATTTCTTAGTAATGTTGATGTCCATGCCACTTCTATTATGAATCTTCTTATTTCTTGGTACCTACGTGTAAATCACTTACACGCTAAGTCATAGACTTAGTGAGGAAATAAATGAATATGCAACAATATCTTCATGAATATGCATTCTTACCATTTCCTTCATGACATTTCAATATGCATGTATCTATTACACAATAACATATATAATCATATCATGCATGTACGAAACTTACCTTCTTGTACCACTTTCACTTTACTTTGTATTTCAATTGCCCATATATATTATTGAGAATAGAGGTATGTGAGTACATGGAGGTTGTGTACTAATGCTGTCACCACAGCTCGTATCAATTCCCTCATGGGGCACCGAACCTTAGTTCAGTATTCGTCCCGAAGGACTGTCATATATGTCCCGTAGGACCACTACATCCCGAAGGACTACGTCCCGAAGGACTATTATACCCTCGACTCTTGGCATGCCAATTACACCTATAGTTCTCATATCGTATACCATGGGCATTATTCTTATATTTCATATGTTCATGTTCTCATATCACATATCATATCACATGTGTATTTGAATCTATTCATATAGATACATCATTTATCCAATCACATGAACATATATATGCCTTATGCATGTATTATAATAATTATCATGTATGTATGTTCACAACTATTGTACTATGAAAATCAATATAGGGATTAGATTTATCACAAGTCTTATTCCATTATATTATACATATAGTATGCACTCACCTTAGCTTTGCTTTGATTCGATTCTAATCCTTTGATCGTTCTGGAATAAGCTTACTTTTAGTATCTACATAATCACACATGGATCTATATCAGTATTATAGCTTATATACTCTAATGGTTCACTCTTTAGATTAAGATAAATGCCAATTTCCTCTTTTAATGAAGGTATGCATCGATCCACTACTTGTGCATCGGTGCATAAAAAGCATTCGATGTTTTATTATTAATGGGATGCATCGATGCATGCCTTATGCATCGATGCACTAATTGCATTCGATGTTTATTTAAAAGAGTGCATCGATGCACTACCTATGCATCGATACATGATAACTCCGTAAAAATACTATTTTTAAGGCCTTTTCAACTTAAGTTATTGTTTTTTTAAGGGTACATATAGGTCATTTTAGATGTATGTAGCTGCATATAATTGCATTTTTTGTGGTTGTGTCATTTTATTTGATTAAGGTGCTATATGAGGAGGAAGTTGTGGTTTTTAGTGATGTGCAGGAAACAACAAGCAAAATAGGCGAGCTGGGAAGTAATGTCGCGGCATCACACGTTGCTGAAGCAGATTGAAATGCCTCGGCATTTCTGGCACAGAAAACGATAAAAATATACAGTTGTACGTGGACAGCTGGCTCTGCACGTGAAATGATGGCTGTAATAGCCTGTTAGGGGACCACTGACACCTGGATGATAAGGTTCATACACAACATGTGATTCTAGGGGTATGAGGGGTATTTTGCACCCAACAATATCCCAACAACCTCGTCATTACCCCTAGATATTTGTATTATATATTACACCTCACAAGAGAGAGAGTGTGTGGAAGAAAGGAGACGCATATTGTAGCAAAAATATCATATTTTTATTTTCCCTTTTCCTTTCTTCTTCCTTCGGTTTTCCTCCATTGATAAAGCTTCAAGGAGTGGCGAGCTAGGCGCCGAGAGGAGCTAGCGAGCTAAGGCGGTTCGTGGTGGCCGAGGAGACCTCCGGTGGCGCGCGTCGAAGGCTCTTTCTCAATTCCCTTTGCTGTTATTTTATTTATTTTATTTGTGGGTTGTTGGAACGAATATTTTGTGGATTTTTCTATGGATATTTCGAACCCTACCATGAACTAACTTATTTGGTGGTGGTTGATTTAATGGTTGTTTAAACTTTATTTTTAATGGTATATTTAAGTTTACTTTGGTTCTTTATTTGCTTTGCTTATGAATGCTTCACCATCTAGGCTTGTAAGAGGCATGGAAATGTCTATTTCTTAGATGAAGGCTAGGTGTTCGGAAGAATCCTAAGCTAAAAATACTTGTAAGTATTCGGAAGAAACGCAAGACAAGATCCTCATAAGCAATGGGTTATAGTATTTTCAAGGGGTTTTGAACCAGCCTAGGAATATTATAACCTAATCCCTTAGATCTCGGAAGAGACTAGGATAGGATTTCAACGACTAAAAAGGGTGTCTTTATCAATAGGGTAGGCTGTCCAACATCGTTGAGTGAGAGCAGATGCCTTGGCATCCTATCCTGTTAGGTTCCTGTGAGAATATTTTAGGAAAGCCCTGTCGAGTAAGTAAAGACCAGATAGCTTAAATCTGCCTGAGAGATAAGTTTAGCATTCTTAGATCAATCCCTACCATTTATTCCATTGAAAGCTTGTCACGTGAGGATTATCTTCTTTTTATTTTATTTATCTTTTATTTACTGTTTTTACCATTTTTCATTGCCTTGACATTTCACCATTTCCAACATTGAATATCTGTTCTTGCCACTGCATTTCCATTTGCTACACCATCACACCATCAATCCACATTTACCAGCATACACATATGCATTGCCATGACATTTGTATATATCAAGACTAACTATACTTAGATAGAATAATGCATAAACTTTACTCAATATCCTTCCAATCCCTGTGGAGACGATACTCACTTATCACTTTATTACTTGAGCGATTGTGTATACTTGCACATTATTTGCGTATAATTTTATAGTACTCACAATACGCAAACAAGTTTTTGACGCCGTTACCGGGGATTGGCGATATTGAGTTTAGTTGTTGCACCATTTTTTTTATTTTCTTTGTACATAGTTACTTGTTTTTGTGTTTACCTTTTTCAGGTGTTACGTTGTCGCATGACACGTAAAAGACCCAAAGAACCATTATTTCATATAGAACCTGAGGCTCATGTTGTTCAAAATCAAGTGAAAGATTCTGATGTTCAAAATGCCACGACAATTCCAAATGCTAGGAATGCTGCTTGACCACAGACTATTAGAGATTACTTAGCTCCTACCTTGGATGACCTACAACCTGCTATTATAGCTTCCAAGATTCAGATAACCCAATTCGAGCTCAAACCGGTTATGTTCGACATGTTGGACTTGATTGGAAAGTTTGGTGGTGCTCCTCATGAGGATGCAAGGCAACATGTTCGAGAATTTTTGGAGGTATGTGACTCTTTTCGACAAGAAGGTGTGCATGAAGATGTGCTGAAATTGAAGTTATTTCCATATTCTTTGAAAGATGATGCCAGGGCATGGCTCAATGGATTACCTTGCGGCTCGATAAGGTCTTGGGTTGAATTGTGCAAAAAAATTTAGCTACGACATAATCCACCGGATATGAACAACCATCTTAGGAATGCCATAGCATCTTTTCACCAAGCTGATGACGAGTCAATGCATGAGTGTTGGGACCGCTACAAAGAATTGCTTCGTAAATGTACCAACCATGGATTCCACGATTGGACTCAAGTCGTGATGTTCTACAATGGAGCCAATGCACCCACGAGGATGATGCTAGATGCCTGGACAAATGGCAATTTGCTTGACAAATCACCTGAAGAGGCTTTTAGTATTCTTGATTGAATTGCTAACCACGATTACCAATTTCCCTCTTCAAGGTTTGAAACTAGAAGAAAGGCATCTGGGACATTCAAGTTGGAAGCTGAAGATTTAGTGTTGGCCCAACTCTCTACCATCACTAATATGTTGAAGAATTTGCAAAATTCTAAGGAGGTGAAAGAAGTGAAGGTTGATAGCTTGGCATGTCTGTTATGCCAAGGCAATCACCATGAATGTGAATGCCCGAACAATCAAAAGTTCATCGACTACGTGGGAAGCTTCAATGGATGGAGTCAACATCCCAATTTCTCATGGGAAAATCAAGGAGCTCGTAATGTCAGTCATCTCGCTCAGCAGCAATATATAGATGAGCCCCCAACCTTTCAAACGAATATGCCATGGCATCAGTAAATGGTAGGACAGTTAGATGAAATGTTTTGATGATACCTGATGAAGATGAACTTTTTAGGTAAGAAATTGAATGTAAATGACTATTGAGAATGATAGAAGTGACTCTAAGGCTTGATGCTTTGTGAATTATTATTACACGATTTGTATGTTTTCTATACTTAAAGAACTTAGGAAGTTTTTATGAAAGAACTCTGGTTAGCCTTGGCATTAAAATATGGTATTATGCTTAAATGATAAATCACTGTTTAAGAACTCCCTTATCTCTGAATTTTTTTTAATCGTGAATAAATGCTTCGGCATAGCTGTAGAGGGATACTGCTCTTTGCTATGGCATTGCCTGGAACTCTCTTTAATAAATGGCAGCCACACACATACGAGTGAATGAAAGTAGTCACGGGATGACTTTGCCTGACTACCTTGGGGGTGGAAGGTATGCTCCCTTTCACCTAGAGTGTGGGATGGTAGGTGTGATGAGCTGACTCCCTTCGTAGCAGCGTAAAAAAGTAAAAAAATGAAAAGAAAAAAAAAGAAAAAAATGTGTACTAAATGAAAAAGGAGTATAAATGTGCTTAATGAATGAGTAAATGTTGTGGCGAAAGTAGGGAACTCAATTAGAAATTGCCTAAATTCGTTAAGCATAGATTAGATACAATCACGCACACACACAACCATAAAGAATCTTGACCTAGGGAAAAGTACTTGAATTCTTGATATATCTAGCATGTTGAAGCCAATTATTATGAGGGTTGAAATTCAATTATTATCTTGTTGTCCTACTGTTGAAATTGCCATGACGTTTTGATTGTGTTAATTGTTATCCATTGCTTGAGGACAAGCAATAACTTAAGTTTGGGGGTGTGATAACTATGTAAAAATACTATTTTAAGGCCTTTTCAACTTAAGTTATTGTTTGTTTAAGGGTATATATAGGTCATTTTAGATGTATGTAGCTGCATATAATTGCATTTTTGGTGGTTGTGTCATTTTAGTTTATTAAGGTGCTATATGAGGAGGAAGGTGTGGTTTTTAGTGATGTGCAGGAAACAACAAGCAAAATAGGCGAGCTGGGAAGTAATGCCGCGGCATCACACGTTGCTGAAGCAGATTGAAATGCCTCGGCATTTCTGGCACAAAAAACGACAAAAATATACAGCTGTACATAGACAGCTGGTTCTGCACGTGAAATGATGGTTGTAATAGCATGCTAGGGGACCACTGACACTTGGAGGATAAGGTTCATGCACAACATGTGATTCTAGGGGTATGAGGGGTATTTTGCACCCAACAATATCCCAACAACCTCATCATTACCCATAGATATTTTTATTATATATTACACCTCACAAGAGAGAGTGTGTGTGGAAGAAAGGAGATGCATATTGTAGCAGAAAAATCAAATTTTTATTTTCCCTTTTCCTTTCTTCTTCCTTGGGTTTTCCTCCATTGATAAAGCTTCAAGGAGTGGCGAGCTAGGCGCCGAGAGGAGCTAGCGAGCTAAGGCGGTTCGTGGTGGCCGAGGAGACCTCTGGTGGCGCGCGTCGAAGGCTCTTTCTCACTTCCCTTTGCTGTTATTTTATTTATTTTATTTGTGGGTTGTTGGAACGAATATTTTGTGGATTTTTCTATGGATATTTCAAACCCCACCACGAACTAACTTATTTGGTGGTGGTTGATTTAATGGTTGTTTAAACTTTATTTTTAATGGTATATTTAAGTTTACTTTGGTTCTTTATTTGCTTTGCTTATGAATGCTTCACAATCTAGGCTTGTAAGAGGCATGGAAATGTCCATTTCTTAGATGAAGGCTAGGTGTTCGGAAGAATCCTAAGCTAAAAATACTTGTAAGTATTCGGAAGAAACGCAAGACAAGATCCTCATAAGTAATAGGTTATAGTATTTTCAAGGGGTTTTGAACAGGCCTAGGAATATTATAACCTAATCCCTTAGATCTCGGAAGAGACTAGGATAGAATTTCAACAACTAAAGGGTGTCTTTATCAATAGGGTAGGCTGTCCAACATCGTTGAGTGAGAGCAGATGCCTTGGCATCCTATTCTGTTAGGTTCCTGTGAGAACATTTTAGGAAAGCCCTGTCGAGTAAGTAAAGACTAGATAGCTTAAATCTTCCTGAGAGATAAGTTTAGCATTCTTAGATCAATCCCTACCATTCATTCCATTGAAAGCTTGTCACGTGAGGATTATCTTCTTTTTATTGTATTTATCTTTTATTTACTGTTTTTACCATTTTTCATTGCCTTGACATTTCACCATTTCCAACATTGAATATCTGTTCTTGCCACTGCATTTCCATTTGCTACACCATCAAACCATCAATCCACATTCACAAGCATACACATATCCATTGCCATGACATTTGTATATATCAAGACTAACTATACTTAGATATAATAGTGCATAAACTTTACTCAATATCCTTCCAATCCCTGTGGAGACGATACTCACTCATCATTTTATTACTTGAGCGATTGTGTATACTTGCACATTATTTACGTATAATTTTATAGTACTCACAATACGCAAACAATACACCTTCAAACAATTTCTGGGTTTTAACCTTGATGTATCGATGCACTCTGCCCAGAATCCTCTTTTTGAACCCCGAAAATTCATTCATTTTAGATTAAATCCTTCATGTTTAATCCCCTTTTTCATTCTTAACTCTAGTACACATCCTTAAACCAATTTATACTCATTTATTTCATCTTAAACCTCCAAATCCTATCCTTCATATGTAATTCAAGAATTACATCAATAATTCAATATGTTTAAATTCCACTTTTAACACTTCGTATATCTTAAGTAGATTGATGACAAGTCAAATTTAACTTTCAATTCTAGTTATGAACTCTATTCCAAGATTTCATTTAAGAACTTCAAATCTTAAATCTCTCCTAACTCCATCATCCTTTGATGTTTAGATAACTTAAGCTTTCCTTAAGCTTATTTATCATCTAATAATCAAAAACTAATCTTAAATTAATAAGAAATTCAATAATCAGAAATCTTACCTTTGCTTAGGTTCACACGCACAAGGAAGAAAGAAGAAGAAGAGAACTCTGGAAGCCTTGGGTGTTTTCTCCCCTTCCACCCACGTGTATCCTTATATCTATACTTATCCTTTCTTTAATTATTTTTTTCCTTGCAATTACTCTATTGTCCTTCCATTCCTTATTCCTTTCAATTCCATCCTACACAATAATTTACATGTAAATCTTTATACTATTCATTCATTTTATTTTAACCACCAAATTCTGAGACTTTACAATTTAGTCACTAACCCGGTATTGAGGATGTTACAACTCTTCCCCTTAAGAAAATTCATCCTTGAATTTTCATTATGCAAAGAGATAGGGGTACTTAATCCTCATATCCTCTTCATGTTCCCATGTTGTTTCCTCTACCTTGTGATTCCTCCATATGACCTTAACCAATGGAAAAGTCTTGTTCCTTAGTTGCTTGACTTCGTGAGCTAATATTTGAACAGGTTCTTCCTCATAAGTTAAATCTGGTCAAACTTTAATTTCTTCAGTAGTCACAATGTGGGATGGATCAGATCGATATTTCCTAAGCATTGAGACATTAAAGACATTGTGTATCTTTTCCATTTCAGGTGGAAAAAATTAGCTGATATGCTATTGGTCCTACTCTCTTAGTAATCTCATAAGGTCCAATGAATCGAGGACTCAACTTTCCTTTCCGTCTAAACCTCAATACTTTCTTCCATGGAGACACTTTCAAGAACACTTTATCTTCGACTTGAAATTCAATCTCTTTCCTTTTTAAATTAGCATATGATTTCTGTCTATCAGCTGCAGCTTTCAGATTATTCTGAATTACTTGAACTTTTTCTTCCGTATTCTGAATCAACTCAGGACCAATAACTTCTCGATCCTTAAGTTCATACCAGTTCAAGGGCGTACGACATCTTCTTCCGTATAGAGCTTCATAGGGAGCCATTTTGATGCTTGACTGATAACTATTGTTGTAAGCAAATTCAACAAGTGGTAAATACCTTTCCCATGATCCTTTGAATTCAATGACACAAGCTCTTAGCATATCCTCCAGAATTTGAATAGTTCGCTAGGATTGACCATCGATTTGAGGATGAAACGTTGTACTGAAGTTCAACCGAGTTCCCAATGCTCCATGTAATGACTTCCAAAACCGTGATGTGAATCTAGGATCTCGATTAGAAACTATGGAAATAGGTACACCATGCAAACGTATAATCTCTCTAATATCCAGCTCAGCATACTTATCCATGGAGAAATCAGTTCGTACCAGAATAAAATGGGCTGACTTAGTCAATCTATCTACGATAACCCAGATTGAATCCTTTTTGTTCGGAGTTAAAGGCAACCCCGTCACAAAATCCATCGTTATGTTTTCCCATTTCCATTGAGGAATTGAAATTGGTTGTAACAATCTTGACGGAACCTGATGCTCAGCTTTGACTTGTTGACAAGTCAAACACTTTGATACAAATTTCGTAATGTCTTTCTTCATTCCCGGCCACCAATATCGACTCTTGAGATCCATATACATTTTGTTCCCTCCCGGATGCATTGTCAATGGACTACAATGAGCTACCGTTAACAAATCATTCTTTAATTCATCATTATCCGAAATTACCAATCTTTCTCGATAATACAAGTTCTCATCAGACTTAATCTCATAATCCATACCCTCTCCATTCTTTATCTGTTGTATCTTATTTAAACACTTTCCATCTTTAGCTTGCAATTCTTTAATTCGATCTAGCCATACTGGCTTGACAGTCAGTTCTGCACATATTGCACCATCTTCTTTTAACAATAATCTTGCATCAAGAGCTCGCAAAGCTGCAAACGTCTTTCTACTCAAGGCATCAGCTACCACATTTGCCTTTCCGGGATGGAAATCAATAACAACATCATAATCCTTGAGAAATTCCACCCATATTCTTTGTCTTAAATTCAACTCTTTCTGAGTCATCAAGTATTTTAAGCTCTTGTGATCAGTATACAAGTAGCACTTTTCACCATACAAGTAGTGACGCCAGATCTTTAAAGCAAACACTACTGCCGCCATCTCTAGGTCGTGTGTTGGATAATTCTTCTCGTGCGGTTTTAGTTGTCTCGAAGCATATGCCACGACCTTGCCTTCTTGCATTAATACGCATCCCAAACCACTATGAGACGCATCACTATACACTATAAAGTTCTTGCCAGACTCAGGTTGAACTAACACTAGAGCTTCTATAAGAATCTTCTTTAACTTTTCAAAACTCTCTTGACATTCTTGAGTCCAAACAAATTTTACTTCCTTTTTCAACAGTTTAGTTAGGGGTAATGCTATGATCGAAAAGTTTTTAACGAACCTTCGATAATAACCAGCTAACCCCAGAAAACTTCTAACTTCTAATACATTCTTTGGAACTTCCTACTCCATAATAGCTTTAATCTTTTGGGGATCCACTCGAACTCCTTCTGCAGAAATTACATGTCCAATGAATGTCACTTCATTCAACCAAAATTCACTTTTAGAAAATTTAGCATAAAGTTTCTTGTCTCGTAAAATCTGTAAAATAATTTGTAAGTGTGAACTATTCTCTTCTTCTGACTTTGAATATATTTAAATATCATCAATAAACACCACAACAAACTGATCCAAATAAGGTTGGAATATCCTGTTCATTAGATCCACAAAAGCAGCTGGTGCATTCGTAACTCCAAACGACATCACGATAAACTCATAGTGACCATATCTTATTCTAAACGCCATTTTTAAAATGTATTTCTCTTGAATCTTTAATTGATGATAACCCGAACGTAGATCAACTTTTAAGAACACTGAAGCTTCCTTTAATTGATCAAATAAATCGTCAATTCGGGGAAGTGGATACTTGTTCTTGATGGTCACTTTATTGATCTGTCTATAATCGATACAAAGACGCATTGATCCATCTTTCTTTTTAACAAATAGAACTGGAGCTGCTCAAGGTGATACACTTGGTCTAATAAACCATTTATCTAGTAACTCCTGTAATTGAATCTTTAATTCTTGCAACTCTTTTGGAGCCATCCTGTATGGTGCCATTTCAATGGGCGTTGTTCCTGGTATTATCTCAATCTGGAATTCTACCTCTCTGTCCGGAGGTAAACCTGGTAACTCTGCAGGAAATACATCGGGAAATTCTCTGACTATAAGAATTCCTTCAATCCCTTTCTCCTTGGTTCTAACATCCAGCACATTAGCAATGAACCCTTGACATCCCTGTAGCAATAACTTCTTTACAGTCAGCACTGAGATCACATTTGCTAATAGATTCCATCTTTCACTAAATACAATAACCTCTACCCCTTTTGAACTTCTTAACGTCATTTTTTTCAATCTACAATCGACATTAGCGTAATAACGATTAACCAATCCATTCCCAATATCACTTCGAATTCGTCAAAAGGTAATTCCATCAGATTAGTAGGAAATTTAATTCCCTGAATCCGTATAGGACACCCTCGACTCACCATATTTACTCGAGCATTGTGCCCTAATGGATTCGTCACTATTACTTCATTGCTAGTAATTTCCAAAGAAATGTTTAATTTTCTCACTAACGTACTAGTAATGTATTAATATGTAGACCCCAGATCAATCAATACAATAACACCTTTGTCAAACAATAGAAAGGTACCTGTTATAATATCTGGGTCATCACAATCCTCATTGGTCTTGAGGTTATACACTCGAGCAGTAGAGTGTATCTCCTGTTGAGCAGAGGATTCCGATTGGCTTCTTCCTCTGCCTCTACCTCTTTCTCTCTGGCCTGCAGAAATAGATCTCTATGGCTGTGTAGATTCACTGGTTAACAGTGGACAATCCCGAACAAAATGCCTAGCGTCCCCACATCTAAAGCAGACTCCAGAAATCATCCGACATATCTCTGAATGATTCTTTTCATAATGTGGGCATTGTCTGGCTTGACTCTGATTAGATCTCCCAGCTCCAGATCCCACTGACTGAGTTTGTCTACCTCTCATCTAATTTGATCCTCTAGCGGAGGATGCCACTGACTCTGATCTAACTTGGGGTCAAAAACCAGCATCTCTGCCCCTTTTTGATTGTGCGGAACTCAAAGAAGTACCCGTTCTTTTGACTGTCTGAGCTCTCGAATTTTCAAACCTATCATTCTGAGCTCTTTCCAGAGCCTTGGCACGGTTGACTACCTCTTGAAACAAGGATAAATTCAAGATAATTAACATTTCCTTCAACCGAGGACGTAACCCCTCTACAAACCACTCACAAGTATCCTTCTCCGTAGGAACTAGCTCGGTAGCAAAGCGGCTCAACTTATTGAATTCACACTCGTACTCATATACTGTGTGATTCCATTGCTTCAGATTCATAAACTCTTGCTTCATTTGACGAACAAATTGATCTCTGATGTACTTATGCTTGAATTCTTCTAAAAATAATGACCAAGTTACTTGGCCGTTAGACATCCTCAATGTAACATTGGTCCACCAGATCCTTGCTTGTCCTCTCAACAAGGAAATTACTCCATCCATCTTCTCAGCATCAGAACAATGAAGTCTCATAAGCATGACCTTCACGTCATTAAGCCAAAGGTCCGCAGTAACAGGGCATTCATCGGCTTCCCCTATAAACTCTGGAGCTCCTAATCCCTTCAACTCTTTCGCAACATTCATTTTTGGAGTTGAAGTAACAGGAGGTTGGATATACATCAATACCGCGTCTAACGTTCTAAAGAATATATCTTGATCATTTACAAGCATTCCAGAGGATGTCTGTTCTTCACTCTGCCTGGCCAGGGCATGTGAATTACTGCTTTTAGCAGGTCTATCATCTCCTGCTTCATTCCTAGAACTACCTCGTCCGGACATCTATAAAAATACAACCATATAGTTATATTAGCAAAACAACATACTTACTATTCCATCAGATCAGAAGTTTCCACTATTTTATTGGTATGTATACATTATCAGACACTCTACACTCCGGTTTATGCCGATAATAGAATAAACCGTAGCTCTGATACCATTAAATGTAACACCCCTAACTCATATTCGACCCGAATACAAGTCCGAGATGTCACATTGACTTTTCAAACTTTGATTCTTAAAGAAAAAACCCCGGGAATTTAAAACTTTCATTAAAACACAATACTTTAATTTACATAAAAGAGACCACTTAATACAAAATTGACCAGAGCTTTCGTAATTAACCACTTATTACATACCAACACTCTATACACAACAAAATACCTACTTTGTCAATTACTTATGATCTGATTTCTTAGTAATGTTGCTGTCCGTACCACTTCTATTCTGAATCTTCTTATTTCTTGGTACATACGTGTAAATCACTTACACGCTAAGTCATAGACATAGTGAAACAATAAATGAATATGCATTCTTACCATTTCCTTCATGACATTTCAATATGTATGTATCTATTACACAATAACATATATAATCATATCATGCATGTACGAAACTTAACTTCTTGTACCACTTTCACTTTACTTTGTAATTCAATTGCCCATGTATATTATTGAGAATAGAGGTATGTGAGTACATGGAGGTTGTGCACTAATGCTGTCACCACAGCTCGTATCAATTCCCTGATGGGGAACCGAACCTTAGTTCAGTATTCGTCCCGAAGGACTGTCATACATGTCCCATAGGACCACTACATCCCGAAGGACTACGTCCCGAAGGACTATTATACCCTCGACTCTTGGCATGTCAATTACACCTATAGTTCTCATATCGTATACCATGGGCATTATTCTTATATTTCATAAGTTCATGTTCTCATATCACATATCATATCACATTTGTATTTGAATCTATTCATATAGATACATCATTTATCCAATCACATGAACATATATATGCCTTATGCAAGTATTACAATAATTATCATGTATGTATGTTCACAACTATTGTACTATGAAAATTAATATAGGGATTAGACTTATCACAAGTCTTATTCCATTATACTATACATATAGTATGCACTCACCTTAGCTTAGCTTTGATTCGATTCTAATCCTTTGATCGTTCTGGAATAAGCTTACTTTTAGTATCTATATAATCACACATGGATCTATATCAGTATTATAGCTAATATACTCTAATGGTTCACTCTTTAGATTAAGATAAATGCCAATTTCCTCTTTTAATGAAGGTATGCATCGATGCACTACTTGTGCATCGGTGCATAAAATGCATTCGATGTTTTATTATTAATGGGATGCATCGATGCATGCCTTATGCATCGATGCACTAATTGCATTCGATGTTTTTATTTAAAAGAGTGCATCGATGCACTACCTATGCATCGATACACCTTCAAACAATTTTTGGGTTTTAACCTTGATGCATCGATGATATGAATATGCATCGATGCACTCTGCCCAGAATCCTCTTTTTGAACCCAAAAATTCATTCATTTTGGATTAAATCCTTCATGTTTAATCCCCTTTTTCATTCTTAACTCTAGTACACATCCTTAAACCAATTTATACTCATTTATTTCATCTTAAACCTCCAAATCCTATCATTCATATGTAATTCAAGAATTACATCAATAATTCAACATGTTTAAATTCCACTTTTAACACTTCGTATATCTTAACTAGATTGATGACAAGTCAAATTTAACTTTCAATTCTAGTTATGAACTCTATTCGAAGATTTCATTTAAGAAATTCAAATCTTAAATCTATTCTAACTCCATCATCCTTTGATGTTAAGATAACTTAAGCTTTCCTTAAGCTTAATTATCATCTAATAATCAAAAATCAATCTTAAATTTAACAAGAAACTCAATAATCAGAAATCTTACCTTTGCTTTGGTTCACACGCACAAGGGAGAAAGAAGAAGAAGAGAACTCTGGAAGCCTTGGGTGTTTTCTCCCCTTCCACCCACGTGTATCCTTATATCTATACTTATCCTTTCTTTGATTATTTTTTCCTTGCAATTACTCTATTGTCCTTCAATTCCTTATTCCTTTCAATTCCATCCTACACAATAATTTACATGTAAATCTTTATACTATTCATTCATTTTATTTTAACCACCAAATTCTGGGACTTTACAATTTAGTCACTAACCCGGTATTGAGGATGTTACAACTCACCCCCTTAAGAAAATTCATCCTCGAATTTTCATTATGAAAAGAGATAGGGGTACTTAATCCTCATGTCCTCTTCACGTTCCCATGTTGCTTCCTCTACTTTGTGATTCCTCCATAAGACTTTAACCAATGAAATAGTCTTGTTCCTTAGTTGCTTGACTTCGTGAGCTAATATTTGAACAGGTTCTTCCTCATAAGTTAAATCTGGTCAAACTTTAATTTCTTCAGTAGTCACAATGTGGGATGGATCAGATCGATATTTCCTAAGCATTGAGACATTAAAGACATTGTGTATCTTTTCCATTTCAGGTGGAAAAATTAGCTGATATGCTATTGGTCCTACTCTCTTAGTAATCTCATAAGGTCCAATGAATCGAGGACTCAACTTTCCTTTCCGTCTAAACCTCAATACTTTCTTCCATGGAGACACTTTCAAGAACACTTTATCTTCGACTTGAAATTCAATCTCTTTCCTTTTTAAATTAGCATATGATTTCTGTCTATCAGCTGCAGCTTTCAGATTATTCTGAATTACTTGAACTTTTTCTTCCGTATTCTGAATCAACTCAGGACCAATAACTTCTCGATCCTTAAGTTCATACCAGTTCAAGGGCGTACGACATCTTCTTCCGTATAGAGCTTCATAGGGAGCTATTTTGATGCTTGACTGATAACTATTGTTGTAAGGAAATTCAACAAGTGGTAAATACCTTTCCCATGATCCTTTGAATTCAATGACACAAGCTCTTAGCATATCCTCCAGAATTTGAATAGTTCGCTAGGATTGACCATCGATTTGAGGATGAAACGTTGTACTGAAGTTCAACCGAGTTCCCAATGCTCCATGTAATGACTTCCAAAACCGTGATGTGAATCTAGGATCTCGATTAGAAACTATGGAAATAGGTACACCATGCAAACGTATAATCTCTCTAATATCCAGCTCAACATACTTATCCATGGAGAAATCAGTTCGTACCAGAATAAAATGGGCTGACTTAGTCAATCTATCTACGATCACCCAGATTGAATCCTTTTTGTTCGGAGTTAAAGGCAACCCCGTCACAAAATCCATCGTTATGTTTTCCCATTTCCATTGAGGAATTGAAATTGGTTGTAACAATCTTGACGGAACCTGATGCTCAGCTTTGACTTGTTGACAAGTCAAACACTTTGATACAAATTTCGTAATGTGTTTCTTCATTCCCGGCCACCAATATCGACTCTTGAGATCCATATACATTTTGTTCCCTCCCGGATGCATTGTCAATGGACTACAATGAGCTACCGTTAATAAATCATTCTTTAATTCATCATCATTTGGAATTACCAATCTTTCTCGATAATACAAGTTCTCATCAGACTTAATCTCATAATCCGTACCCTCTCCATTCTTTATATGTTGTATCTTCTTTAAACACTATCCATCTTTAGCTTGCAATTCTTTAATTCGATCTAGCCATGCTGGCTTGACAGTTAGTTCTGTATATATTGCACCATCTTCTTTTAACGATAATCTTGCATCAAGAGCTCACAAAGCTGCAAACGTCTTTCTACTCAAGGCATCAGCTACCACATTTGCCTTTCCGGGATGGAAATCAATCACAACATCATAATCCTTGAGAAATTCCACCCATATTCTTTGTATTAAATTCAACTCTTTCTGAGTCATCAAGTA